ATCAGTCTCAGATCAAATTGGAATAAATTGGATCATTCTGTCAATTTGAGCAGTGTTTATAGCCATGATGAGCAATATGCATCGCTCATTCGGTAACAATTTCAAGACGTCTGTAGTTTTTGTGGATAATTTTTATGATAATTGATTTATGGTGATTGTTGGCTAGTTATACTGTAGAATAGTTGCGTGTAATCGTTTCGCGTGTCGGTCGCCTAATCGCAATCGCGGGTTTTCGGAGGCGACGCGGGAAGCGTTCTCTGGTCACGGCCAAGGTCTCGGCCCGGCTCGTCATTGCGAGACCGTTCTTGGGCAAATGATAAAACGGCAGCGTTTGCGTTCATTACATAAACAATGTTTACATTATCTAATTCGTATTGCCCGCTCCGGATTGCGTTTATCATATCGCCCTGGATTTTTTTCGACGCTTTCTATCGGTTATAGTTTGTAGATCCGGTTGTGTATCATACGCATTGTTATATTTTTGTGACATTGATATTCTTACGTGAACTTTTGAATGAGCTGGCTGGCTGGAACTTAGCTCATGGATAACTTATACAATTTGCTATTTACTCTTTAGATGTGCATTAATCATTAGAGAATGGTTATAGAGTCCTAACATTTAATGATTAAAATTTTACATTTTTGGATATTTTTGATATTATATCAAAGTATCAAGATTTTTGCTACAAAATAAGTTTGCAGTAGAAGATTCCAATCATCTGATTCACAGCTATCTCAATCCAAGTAAATACATTACTTGTGTTTCTGAAAACAATAGATCGTTAGAGCCTAATTCCGACGAATCTCAATGTTTACAAATGTCGTCCGTCACCTCTGATCTGAAGTCGTGCCTCGCCTATTAATTGGAAGTTACCCAACAGATTTATCTTTAAGATCTTGGGAAAATGGGTATATTTTGAAATTCGAATCCTTAATTTGTATTCCAGTGACTTCTCGATAAAAAGAATCCCATGCAGCATCTCGATTCTCGATTTCGTCCTAGGAATCGAGGCATTGTTTCGTTTGAGTTCCGGTTGCGCTCCCCTCGCCGCGCGGGCAGGCAGCGAGTGGCCGGCCAGCATCGGTGATCTCGAGCACAAACAAAAAACACCTGTAGTCGTCAGCGAATCGCCAAGGTCGCAGGCCCCGCGGCCGCTTCTCCGCGTTCCGCTTACCCATATCTCGCGGCGAATGCACGCGGCGCGCGCCCCCGCGAATTTGACTCACCACACCCGCTCGCTCGGGTCATGTCTAGGACGGCCATTTAGATTTTATGCATGCTGGTTCTGTTGGCCACCAATGCCACCATGATGCTGTTTCACTGACGTCATTTAAGACATTTTCATCCTTTAACTTAACTTGATCTAGGTATAACGTTCAATAATCTTTCTCTATCATTGCTTTTGTTTTTGAAAAGCCATTTCAACCCATTATTATATCATAGTAAAATTACTTCTACTATTGTGACATTCATGGTTATAGAGGAAGTGGATCCTCTATCAAAATAGTTACGCCAGGTTTCTCAGGTATGTCCTGAGACAACAACCAAACAAGAAGTCGAAACTAGTTTCATTTCAAGGCTGTGATTGATCTAATTTACAATTTAACCGTTTTAATCATGCTGCTAATGCTCGTATCTTTTTTCTTTTCTTTTAATATTCAAGCTATTACAAGATTTACAAGCCACGAGACTTGTCTTGAAAACCTCAATCTCTAGTATTATTTTTCTTTAAAAAATATCCGGTGCTGATTGAGGATGGACAGAAGACTACGTCTAGAGCTCATAATCTTGGCATGTAAGAGCGATCGCGATGGCGTTTAAATAAAAGTCTTTTTGGAGTGATTAACGTGACACGTGCTTTTAACGTTTCCCAATTCAAAAGAAAGTGAGAGTATGCGGCTCCTCCACTCCAGTTAGGTGATGTGATGCGCGCGCGTCGCTATTGTCAATGTTAATTGCGGCTGGCGGCGCGTCAAGTCAAGGTCGGCGCGGATCGATCGCGGAGGGGGGCGCGCTCACTGCCACTGCCACTTGCATGCATGCACGTCATGCGTACCGAAGAAAGTATACGAAAGTACATTCCTTGATAACACAACTCTACGCTCGATGATCGCTGCGTAATAAGACGTTCATTTTTCCCCCCACACATCTTTCACATTCGCAAATAAATCTACGTGCGTGCTGTCACATCCTTTATTTTCCTCACTTCATTTCATCGCTGCTCAATTATGTGAAAGTATCCATCGCCAAACATCCGTGAACGTTCGTATTGTTCATTCCATATCATTTTCGATTTTTATTCCCATCATATGACTCGAAATGTGTATTTCAGAATAATCGCATATTCTTCAAGGGAAATACGTTTTTGTCGAGTTTATTGTCGGTAGTATCGATGTTCGCTTTTTAGCCATTGTTGGTGATTCCTTTTATGTGGACCATCAATTCCAACAATATCGTAATGGTTCAATCCATTCACTCCGCTTGTGGAGGTGATGGTGTAGGGCTCCAATAATGCTTTTATTCGTCGCATTGACGATGGCGTGTTCCGTTTACCGGGGTTTGATATTGATTTGTAGCCTTATTTATGGGTACGTAATGTCACGCCCACATAGAGCCGTATGGGGAGAGCGAAGCCTCTCTTCACTAGAGAAGCTATCAATTTCATAGAGCCGGTGGTTGTCAAGGATACCGCCTCCTTGATTGACAGGTTCGGGTAATGCGGTCCTATAATGAACACTCTACTGACAATCTACACGCAGCGTAAAAGGATATGAATTTGCGCTTGGATGGATTCTTTTGAATTGGGCGTGAATAATATCCAACCGCTCACGCCATAAATAAGATATTCTTTGCACTCCTTTATAGCTATCTGCTTTTACAGTTGGATATTTCATTTTTCATGTCTTGTTTACTGAGTTAATCTTTCTGAATGAATGGGTTTATAGATTTAACGTCTAGTATTTCTACGTGGTTTTATAAGAAAAGTGATTTATTAGTTTACAAACGCATGCAAATAATTTCAATTAATGAGTGGATAAAGTAATTTATGGAGAAAGCCTTTGCATTTGAACTTCTTACTTTAAATTTGAACATAAAGAACGGAGCATGCTGGTATTAGGACAACCAAGTTTATTTATTTTGTTTGAGCGAGCTATTTTTGGGGAAAATGTTTTTGCTAGAATTTCAATTATCTTTGCGTCAGTGGAGTTGATTTGGGAATATTTTTATTCTATAATAAAAATCATATTACTGACGGCGCGGCGCGTCCACAATCCACATGCGGTTGACCCGTAATCTAATCTGGGCTGGATGCCTGGATTGTTCTTATCCCTGGCTGTATTTTTGTTGAAAAATAGCATCTAATACCAGCTAGTAAGTAATAGTAGAAGAAGCTAGCAAATTAAGCTGTACAATATCCTTTCCACATCCACATCATAACTAAATCAAGGATTCAGTTATCGGGCGTACACCAGATGAATTTATTCCAATGAAAGATCAATATTATGTATTACATTTTTAGAACTCGGTAGATTCCAGATTTAGTAACTCCCAAGCGTAAATTTTATCTGAAAACACGATTTCAAAGGCTAATCATGTTTACAATTTGTATTCCAATTCTAGCTATTGCCGAGGAAGTTTCCATCATTTATTTCATACATATTTATTTCCATATCGGTGATTTGAGGAGACGGAGAACTCCCTACAAACTTTCATCACATACTTGTACCACATGAGTACAGATTTCTTTGTCCTTTACTTTTATTTTCTACAAAAGGTGGAAACAGAAACTAAGATGTCTTTCTCCCTATCTTTACTATAATACTAACTACATACCAAACTGTAAACAGAGTCACTGTGACAAACAAATAAAGTACAGATTACTGCGCCGGTAAAAGCCGGCAAATCACGCTAGGGAGCTTATCAAGTTCGGTATCAACAACTTGTTGACAAATGTGAAAATTGTCATCGCTCGCGTTACCTACGTCTTTCGGTGACCTTTACTCAACGATATTGCTAAGTATTCAAATGTGAAGTGGCTATAAAGCGATATTGTTATCCTTATCTATTTTCTTTGTTACTCGGCTCTTATCAATATTTACCTACTTTACTTACTCTTAGGTCAAGAATAATGAATTCATTTCTATAAACATACTTGCATTAAAGATATTTTATTATGTATGTGAAAAGTTATTAAAACTCGTCAGGATGGAAGAACTACATAGTTGATTTATTGTCTGTTGTGGACATAATGAATAATGCTGAACATCAACTTCAGTTTATGGTATCTGATAGTCCGGATACGAGTTTTTTTGTACGCTCCAAACTAACACACGTGCAGTTGATGTGCCCACAAGGCAGATCCAAGGCCGCACATATGTCCCCGAGCATGGGTAAACAAACCAAACGCCAGCGCACGTGTGATAATGTTTGAACGAATCGTTTTTGACAGATTCACTCCGCCAAAATTTGTCACATGCCTGACCCACTTTCAGCAAAGTGCAATGCACATTCCCAAGCCCAAAGACCTGGTTAATACCCGTTCATTTCAAATATGACTTTTGACCATTATGTACTTCATTGTTACGTTTGTGCTGAGTAATACTGTGTTGTGAAAATTTTTATATGGCAGAGGCTATCGCAGGGAGTTCGGTCCATGAGCCATGAGTGACGTAAAACTTAATTACAGAAACGCGACGCGCAACCACGATCACGAAGGCCAACTGCTAACAACTCCAATTATTTAGATGATTCCTCCGACACAACTATAAAATATTTAAAATTACATAGTTCAATTCGGGTATCATTTGCCCGTTAAAAGCAAAAAATGCGATTATAGCGACTCGTTTTCTACATAAAATGAGATTTATTCACGTATGATTGTATGCGGACCTTGAGCGCGCCGGGCCCGGGTGAGACCTTCACGCCAGTAACCGCGCGGAAGTCGGCGGGTACCTATATTTTTTGTCAAATTCGAGCTCGTTGAATTGCGCATTAGTCACTAGTTTAGCATCAGTGTCGAAGCTTGCGGCGCATCGTCGACATGCATGCAGCACTGCGATAGCGTCAGTCGCGTCGGGTGCAACAACTATCGCTCGCTATCGCAATGTCGCAACGATGTCTGCTTTGTGACGCTTTTGTTTGCCATATCTCTCTGGCCGCTCGCGCTCGCTCGATCGCCTTCTCTGTAATTTAGAGCCTTAATCGTCACAGTCACAAGTTCACGACTCGCGGATTTGATTCGGCAGGGCGTAAATTGATCGTGAGGATCGTGTCGGTGAGACGCGGGCCGTTGGATTTTCCGTGTGAATCCGTGCATTATATTGGTGCTCGCTTATGTGCAGTGGGTTGCTAGTGATGTGAGGATGCTAGTGCGTGGCCATGTCTAGCGTGGCGAAGAAAGACAAGCCCACGATGTCTGTGACGGCGCTGATCAACTGGGCGCGGCCGCCGCCGCCGGGGCCGCAGCAGCCGCCGCCCGCGACCAACCTCCTGCAACCGTTCGCAATGCCATCCACCATTCCCAGCGTCGACTGCTCCCTCGACATGCAATGTAAATACACAACAAGCCAACACTACCGTAAATGTTAACCAATTCACATGGTACGCAAATAGCAGAAGCCTTGAAAGTAATCAATAAATCAATAGAATGATTATAAATTTACTACTGGTTCTACATACAACAGCTTTATTATATCGATTTTATTCAAAGACTAATACCCCATAGTTCTATGGGGTGATAAAAGTGAACGGTCATTTTTAGTATACATTTCATAATAATCAACTATGCAGTTTAAAATAAATTAAAAAAGTTTATCGCCAAGAGCTTTTTCATTCGATGCATATTTTGTTAACTTATACTTCTCACGATTTATTTTAAAAGTCTCCGCTAATTGCATTTTAACCTCTTTTCTTCTCCAAAATCCGCCTTGTATCTAATCTAAGTTAGTCCATCGAGCAGCTTCTGGGAAATTCCCTGTGTGTGGTGTGGTGTGACATACGGTCAGCAGGCAGACACGTGAGTGATCACAAGGGTTCCGTTTTTATTCCTGAAACGTTAAAACCCCTAAAAACCAGTAGACATGCAATATTCATTATGATTTATTCCATTTGTCTTGCCCTTGATCGTAACTTGTATGAAAACTTAAGTCTCAAGACATCTACATACCTAGGCTTATTTGTCTCCGTCTACTGCGTAGTAAAAAGCTGATTAATCGGCTGAGCTCTCATCGTTGCATCATGTTTGATACGAATTTTCTAGAATGCATTATGCACTTATGTTTACATTACATTTATTAGCAGTTGACGCAAATCCGTAGCATAACAAATTAAAAGCGATACCGTTTGTTGATACTTGGAAAACTATTAACCAAATCGAGATAATATTAATGTGCTGTTTAACTTTCATATTTTTTTCATTAACTTTCCACCGGAATCAATATCATTATTAAACATAACAACACAGCTACGAATTATGTAGTAGATATTATAGTTATGGATGAAATTGCGTATAGTAGTATAGAGATCTAGTGCCCCTTAATAACTTAAAGTGAATGTTAAAGTACGGCATCGAGTCCGTTGAAATGTTTGCCTTATAACAACTGCGTACGGGGAAATCCCTTCTAGGTCAGTCTTGGTGTTTTTATTGCTACTCATACATGATACAATGTATCGAGTTAAATATAGTCACACCTAAAACGACGATATTTATTTTGTCGACATTTTCAGTATACATAATAAATCATACAATTGGTTTTGATTGATCACTACAATATCCTGCTGTTAATTGGACTAGGATTATGAATTCAGGATTTACTTAAAATCACCCCCTTTTCCATGAAAACGGAAACAGTTTACACTTTTGATATCAACATTTATAACACAGAATTTTTATGAATATGAGTTTACTTAGTGCATATCTGTAAGGCCAATCAGAACTTGCCTTGCACTTATGTTGCTGCGTCATTGTATGTAACCGTTGTCAAATTAATTATACCCATTATCTAAATGTGGTTAAAAACACCTAACTTGATGACACCTGCATGTCTCTACATATGTTTTCAAGCCTTCACGCCCTTGATTGTCAATGAATCATCGTGTGTGTTCACTGTGTTTATTTTCATTATTTTTGGTACTGAGCTTTGCTGCTTCTTAGTTTAGTGAATGACGAAGTCCTTAAAACAAAGGTGCGTACATGTTGTGGTACATGTTCTTTGTTGAAAGGTCGGATTTGGTTAGCGCTCTTTGTCAGTCAAATGCGATTAGACATTTTGAGTGTTATCTTCATAACGTTTGTCAATGCTTAAGTTTTTAATATTTTTCGTTTTCATTATTTCATCAATGTTTTTCCCATTAAACTAATATAAATAATGAAATGCGTGCAGCCCGTATGCGGAGCAGATCCGCACGCTTTTGGCGAAATCCGCATCACAGGAAAAGGGCACTTAAAATTGACGGTTCATTTACAATCGTCTTTCGAATACCTGTGAGTGAACAGATATCACTTCCTTCCACCTCTCATCAACTCATATTTCTCTGCGATATTAATTAATAGCACTAATTATGCGGCAATAAATTAATAAATATGGTAATACTTATTGCATGATATTTCCAAGCCAGTACCAGACTGGATTATTATTCGAAGTACTTTGAATTCATAAAACTTCTCATTAATTTATAATAAACGTTTTAAATTAAAACGTAATTTGTTATTTATCTTGTCTCGCTAAAGGGTTTATACCTACGTTACGATCTTGTTAATTAATTATATTCTGTAGATAAAAGTAGGATTTGTCGCGATTATCTTGCGGTTCCTGATTTAGTTTTAATTGTGGTAATCCTTTGACGTTAAATGCGATTAGTGTTACCAAGCCTTCAGAAAATCCAGATGATAGAAAATAATATTCTTTTAGGGAAAGTCCCGTGTAACGGGATAAGGTGATTCAGTAAAAGAAGAAGATAAAAAACTGAGGAGACATTTGACATTATGACTTTTTGCACGTCAGGAAAAAGTCGGTTAAATGGTAATATTGCGGTTAATTTTGTCAAGCAACTTGTTAGTTGCTTATTTGTTTGCCATTAATTAAGGGAAAAAATATCGGAATAAATGACGAACGATACCCAATAGATATCCAATGAAAGAATTTATTCAGCTACCTACCACAAAGATAGCATTATTGAATTTAATAAAGAGTATCAATAGGCTTTGAAGACCTCCCATGATCGCTGCTACAATCGGCGTTTACTTTCTTATCTAATGATTGATATCGTGCGCAAACAGCTGCAAAAATATGTTTTTTCAACGCACTCGTAAAGTGGTTCTTATTGCTCCGAATTTAAGTCCATAATAAAGATTTAAACGCACGTGTACTTTTTTGGTAAGGTCTTACCGATTAGTGTAAGGGCTGTGCTTGTGATGTAAAATATTTAAATAACAAATAAAGGTTCGAAATTAAAATATTATGATAAAGGGCTATAATTGCATAAAATATTAATTTGTTTCATCAACAAAAATATTTTTAAACAGTTTATTATTGCAGGTTCACGCTCCAACTCAACCTCATTGGGATCATGCTCTGTATTTGTAATTGCAAAAAAACATGCTCCATGTTTCATTTATTTATTGCGTAATTTTTTCTTACAAGTGTGTTGATAATTTTATATGAAACGCGTGTGGATCGTTCATTAACTTATTAAACTCTCATTCAATTACGCCCTCGTCTTTGGCTCGGTCTGAAATCTATAACGAGCTATTTTATTTATACTAAAGTTTATTTTAATTCATTACTTTTTTTTTTAAAACTGTATTGTCCTGACAAAACCCATCCTGTTATTAAAATATTATTCTCATATTTACTTAAACCAAATTTAAATGTTTCAAAAACACACTGTTTCGGCGAAATAATTTTGATTGGTATTTTACACTTTATAAATTTAAAATCAAAAGCGTTAAAATATTTAAATACGTGATCATAAATGTGTCCGCCGAGCATATTGGTCGTTTATTTTACAGTGCACATTTTAAGAGTACTAACTATTCCAGAAGCGATAAGTATAATAATAAAGACGCATCACACATCATAATATCTGGAAAACACATTATGTTATTGCTTGCAATTTTATTTTCGACATCGTTAAATTTTTATTCAATTCGCGTATTGCATCCGACATTATTTTTAGGAGTTGGAATGATTAGCACTTCAAGGTTATCACATGTATCGCGAGGTTCATTAACAGCAACATCATCATGCATCATATTAATCTCTCTTTTGAGTTGATCGCTTTCTTCGGATGGATCTATATTCTATGTGTACCTACTACTATATCATACTTTATTCTTGGTATATCATCTCTCGTCTTTCAATTGAGGCATAACTCCATCCATAAATAAAGTCTGAAATACAAAATAAAACCAAGAAGTTTTCTTACTGTTCTGCCATAAACATTTTAATTGTAGAGATTTTTGGGATTCCTTTCACTGATTTCATTACTATCCTTGCTAAATCTTCCTTGTGTTGTTGCTGATATATGCCCTACATGATCTATTGTATAATTGCCAACCTGCAGACTCCTACTGCAACTGGGAATATAATTCTAATTGCTTTTCTCATTAAACTCGATGGTCTCCTTTTCCCTTGTATCTATATATCTGTGCTAATAATGTCTTTTTAAGGCTTGATTCCTTGTCCTGTCTGACTGAATGACGATTTCCAGTGTTCGTATGTAGATATTATAGCCGTGTAATAATAATAATCAATTATTTCATAATAAAATTATGTATGTCATAAAGCATTTCACGCTTTCCGTCTCTATAAAAGCAGCATTTTTATTTTTATCTACTCTACACGAGCTCGCGAGACTACGCCCAATAAACTAATTACGATCTCATACTGTTCCATAACAATGTTTATCTTTTCATATTGCGTCTCTGAAGCCTTTCGCATCGCTCGTAAACAAATTATTTGCCTGGTACATTATAACATCTACCTACTATGTAATATGATTTACTCTGGGGAACGAGATGATTGGAAGTCCTTTATTGAGTCTCACCTTGAATGTGGAGCTCCGCTTATAAGAGCAAAAAATGGATTTCGTGTCGCTTAAATCAATTCGGCGTCGTACAACAGAATAACGAATAACACAATCGGCCGAGTCCTTTAAAGGTTGAATATAAATAATGTTATCCAAAGCTGTAATGATCCTATTTGATAACACGTTTTATTCAGCTTCTCTGCATTTTATAGGCGCTTTCGGTTTCTGGTAGCGACGCTTTTATTTTTTCAAGCGTGTTTTTAATGGCATTATAATTTTTACCTATATTTTTCGAGTTCAAAATGTTAGTCACGAAAATTAAGTCATGTTTTTTTGGGTTATGTAAATGTTTTGATTTTCCGTTACCTACTTTTTCCTGATCAATTTTTTACCTGTCTCTTATTGGTGGTAGAGTCATTACTTATGGAGCAGAATTTGTATACCTTTGTTACCGTTTTCCTATCAGCAGACAAAGACTTGAAATAGTTTTTCTTATTGCGATACTTGTTTGCAGTGAATCGTTATTTATTACTTATTGAGTTTACATTATACCACCCACATCTTATGGAGTACCTAAATTATTGGAAAACATTTTGCTGAAAGTTTTTTTTAGATATGGCTTTAAAGGAGATCATTCAGGCTTCATACATTTTTGGGCCTTTTTTGAAAGTGCCGGCCAACAAAAAAAAATGGTGCGTATTATTAGAACTAGCTATTTGGAGCAATAGTTAATATGGCATAAAAGTTGTAGGACCGCTCTGAACCAAGTTATACAAGTTCGATGATTCATCATTTTCATGCATTTATTGATTTTTGAAAGTGCAGAGAATCATATAATGATTATTGATATTGATAGAACTAGTTATTTGAAGCATCTGTCATTATAGTGCGAAAGTGTGGGTTCATTGTCTGTTCAGTTATTTAAGTGACAAAAAAGTAGTTTTCATGTTACTTCATTTTCCACCAGTTCATCCATTATAATCTGAGCAATATTTATAAAACCTTCCTCTCACGAAGCCCAGGTGTATCTACGCCGTGTACCAATATCTCCACGACAGCTTATACACAAATGATTAGCCACTTCACACAACAAACGGAATCTGAGTCGAATATTCACATATAGTCCGGTCGCCGAGCACGTAGAAGTTTGGCCAATGACCCCAAGCTACCCATCCTTATCGCTCGCACGTAATTATACCTATTGCTGTCGCGATTGTGCGACGGGCGGCCGCAGTGAGTGTGCGAGCGCGACAGCAACATAGATTCGTGCGAGCGAAAAAGATGGATAGCTTGGGGTCATTGGACGAAATTCTACGTACTCGGCGACCGGGCTTTAACAATGATGTTTAACGATAACGCAAGCAGGTAGCCGTTTGATGTAACGCGAGTCGCATGGATAACTGGATGACCTTCACTTCAGTTTTCAATGTCCCCGTCTCATTCACTGACGGGTATGCTCCGAGCCATCCTATTGGCTGGCATGTTTGCTCGTTTCTTCCCGGCCACAGCGACACTGCTAGCGCGGGCCACGGATGTATCTTTTTCGTTTCGTCATCGCGTCATTTGATCGCTAACTTAGAGCGGTCGGTTGATAATTGTTTTGCATCATGAGTTTCTAACAAAACATATATGTAATTATTTTCAAGTTTGCCAACACTTTAAAAGTCAATAAATGTATGAAAATGATGAATCATCGAACTTGTATGACTTTGTTCTGAGTGGTCCTACAACTTTTGTGCCATATTAACTATTGCTCCAAATAGCTAGTTCTAACAATACGTACCATAATTTTTTGTTGGCCGGCACTTTTAGAAAAGGCCCAAAAAGAATGATGTCCTTTATTTACTCTCAGGGTGTTTACTTACTTACAAACAAAACATATTTTTTTGACGATTCGCGATTGTATGGATTCAAGATTAATGTTATTTTTTTTCCTTTTTAAACAATTGTAAATTCTAATAGATAGATATCTGTCCGTGATTACCATAAGCAGTTCCCTTGTGTTTTACTTCGGGTGGATTAGTATAATTCTAGATGGTTCGGGCATTGGAAACATTACTATTTAGGTTTAAAGAATATTTCAAAATGACTTTCAAGTAAAAATCTTTGATTTAATCATGCATGTATGCTTTTTGCCTTGCATAACAAATTGCCCTCTACTATTTCATTTCGGCTTTTTTAACGTTAATTGGTAATATTAAAACGAATATACTTTATCCGAGACCATGTCGTCATGGTAGGATTATTTTGTATGACTGGACGGAGTTGCATAAATTAGCAATAAAATACAATCATTATGAGCTAAAAGCGTTATTTAAAAGTATGCAAGTGATATGTTCATAGACGTGTTCCTTTATTCATTCGCCATTTTATTTATTTCGTTCTTGCATCCGATTGTGAAAACATTTAAATAAATTCAAGTGAACGTGGCCAAAAAAAGTATTTTTATCACGATCTGAGCTCTACCGAGAATAATTTTCCTTTGATAATGAAGTTTTAATAAAGTACAACCAGTGGTAAAAATAAAATAATAATAAAAGTAGTATACCTAATTACTATAATTATTATGGGTCTGACTACGGATTTTCAGGGTCGTTTGTTTGCTTAAAAATAAAATAATTTAAATATAATTACAGTCACCTACGAGACTTTTATGATATGGTAATGTAATACCTATTATGAATTATGTAAAAGATGTAATCTGCTAAGCTTTACAGGGCTATATTGATAAGTACTTACTGCTGATGTAGAGAAAATGGATTCCTTTACATTCGCAGTTTGAAACAAATCTCATTAAAATAAGCAAAGACAAACAAAGAGTTTTACATCAAGCTTTATAACAAAGTCTGATGTCTGAAATAGGAATATTCGAGCATAAGTTTTCTAACGTGGGCCGGAGGGTTGCGTGTTTATTTCTTTTTGCCCGCGCCAGCCCTCCTCCTAATGGACCGGTTCTGTTGGTTTTTCGGAACCGTCTACATAGATTTTTTTCCTGCATTTGAAGTTATGCGACGGCAGTCGGCGGGCCTGCTTCAAATTTTGGCGGATGCGGCCAGTCCTTTGTCTCGAGGTCCTAACGCATTTTGTGGGCTCATGCGGAGAGCCTGCTCTTTGTCCCAGCAAATTAATGATAATAGACTTCATTATATTCGAATTAAAGCGTTTATTTGTTTAGGTCGGATTTCATCTTCCTGTTAAATTCAAGAATCGCAATAATGCCGTTTATGGACCAACATCTGCGCCACGTTGAATTTAAGAATTTTAGATTTGTCACAACCTGAAAACGTAAAAGCTCTTGAAGAGAAATTAATCACCTATGTTAAAGTAAATGAAATATCGACATTAGTAATTTTAGAAAACATCCATTAAAATATTGTGAAAACAATTCAATTATCAATTTTGTTACAGACTTAAAGTTTTTCTCTTGACAATAATCAAGACAAAAGGGATGTTTAGAGTTTGACTGTAGTTAAACTGTAGGCTTAGTGCACACCTCGACAACACAGTCGCTATTGTGCTTTATTTTTCATCCTTCACAATCTACGAAACGTTGATTAGCGTCGGGATTTCCATCTTTTGTTAATAATTGGACCGGCAGGTGGCTCATGCCAAAATGAAAATTTACACCTGTCGCGCGGTATTTATTATCATTTTCTTCTTATCTACCTAGTTGTCTAGTTTGATTGGTTTTTAGAACTCGTATAGCATTCAACTGAACATTTCTCGGAGACATAAAACTTATTAAATAAACGTATGCTATAAACTCGTGAAACTAAATTATACGTCTACAGATTTCATATCAAATATCTCAACTTAGATTATATAGAAAGCTGATTGCTAATACTCGGGGATTACTCATGAATCTCATCAAGTAAGAATTGTGCTTTAGAATAGAACTTTCCTTATAGTTTTTAATTATGAAGCTTAAATGGCTCTTGATTGTTTTATCGATTAATTCTTACGTAAACTACAAATAGATTTTCTATTAAGAGCTTTTGATTGAGAGTCAAGTTTATTCACTAACTTTATCAGAATAAATGGTTGCCGAATTGTAACAAAATACTACTTAGCTTTTTTAGTCGTGCTAAAAGCTATTATTAGCTTTGTATTGTAATGGCGACACACACAGATTCACGAAATTACTTCTAAATGACAAATCAAATGTATCTGTAGCTCAGTGGCTAGAGAAATGGCCTGATTGGTCGTGGGCTCGAGTCCTACCTGAAGCATTCGATTTATTCAGGTGAAAATTATGTTCTAAGACCCTTACACTCGTATTCACCAACGTTACTATGAGGTCTAAGTCTCGCAGTGCGCGTGGGACGCACAGGGTCCCAAACCCTATTCATAGATAATACTTGAGTGAGTGCACACCAATCACCGAGCTCTAATCAACGCTGTGCGTTCGACTTCGCGTAGCGTTACTGCCTCATTTAAGAAAGAGTCGTTTGTGAATACGGGTGTTAATGTCCCAAAGAAAAATCTATGCTACAGGATATTAGCCTAGGGTAGAGCAGTCAATTGGGCTTATGCTATCTATTTTCCGCCCTAAAGTCGTTAGTCAAACAGTGTGTTCTTGTCTGCAGGGTTAAACCTGGAGAGCAGCTTCATGTCGCCGATGTCCCCGCCTGAGATGAAGCCCGACACAGCCATGCTGGACGGGCTCCGCGACGACGCGACCTCCCCCCCGGCCTTCAAGAACTACCCCCCCAATCACCCACTGAGCGGGTCGAAACACCTCTGCTCAATATGCGGAGACAGGGCCTCGGGGAAACACTACGGAGTATACAGGTACTTATTTTTCTACTTAACAAATCAAATCGTTTATGCAAGTAGGATTTTACATGTCCCAACCCTACCACTGCTTCGGGACAGTAATATGGGCAAGTGCTGAGAAGAAGCAGGGCAAGAAACTCAGTCAATATAAAATGGACTTGTCTACTTTCTATCACTGAAATTCCTGTACGTAGTACTCTACAGGCTAGTAGGCAACGAAACTCAATCGACGAAGATTAGGATGTCCACGAGAACGAAATTATATTTATAATCAGATCCTTTAATTCGGAGATATCACCCAACAGCTTACAATATTACAGGTTGGTTCTGACAAATGAATTATGATATTTGATAACGATGAATTATAGCCACCTCTCATCTGACAAAAAGGAAGGAATTTAATGAAATTCAATTTTGTTAAATAAACGTATTTGTATAGCATTGCATGTTAGATTTCAGTTACTGAAACTTAACAGTTACATAATACCACAAAAAGACCATTATAGAGCTTAAAAGAATATAAAAATCAGGTATTGACGGCTCTCTTTTAACAATACCTCCGATAAAGTAATATAATTATAATATGTATACTAACTCAAGCTCACATTCGCCTCGACAAGTTATATTTTTAGCTCATACCAACTAAATGGAATATGAATATTTTATGGTCGGTCTGACATGATGACATAATGATCATCAATGTCATCCTCGCCGATTATAGTGATGACTCTAGTTTAACAACGTTCTAAATTAAAGTGAGTTTACGATTTGCTCAACATTCTGGTTCAAATTCTTTGGGGTTACAATGACCTGGGTGATTTACTTACAGCGAAAAGCTTTTACTTTACCTTTTTTTTCTGTCTATAACAGTATATTATTTGATGTTAGTATCTTCAAGTACTTGGATATATGTATGCTATGTATATCCTTTTTTTAAAGTCGGTTAAAAACATATACATAAAAACCTCTTTACTTTTGTGGTTAACACATTTTGAAACTGGGATATATTTTTTAATAGCTACGAACAGGAAATATCTGTACCCCCAGTGAAAAGGGATCTAACTCGACTTAGATCAAAATTGACTTTATAACATAATGTGAATCTCTGAAAAATTAGCTATTTTTGTATCTAATCGGTATGTTTCTACGACGTATAGAAAAGAAAATAATTTTGTGCCAAATGATACAAGTAAGGCTTTGTGAACCAATTTTGAGTTTTCTTTCGTGTATATTGATACATGTCTACTTTTAACAAAGTGTACCGGAGGCTTCTTTCAATTTTTTATTGTGTCAAGAGGTACGACTCGTGTTACTACTTTTTACACGATTGAAGTTGTTCAGATTGAATTTGTGATTAACAATATAAGATGACTCATATTAATATACACAAAAAAAACTATGTATTGTTGGTTGGTGAAAAAGAATGTAACTTAATTTATATCACAAAAAGTAAAAGACAAATGATTATTTATTTTGTGTATAATGATTCAATNATATTTCAGAAACTAAATGGAACATTGTTCCATTTTTCATAAAGATTGTTTTACGCGATTTATCGAAAAAATAAAGCTTATTTTCACGTGACCTTTAGGTTTACCTAGGTACTATTTTTACCAAGTCTAGCTTATAGACAGAAGTTTCCTTCGAATTTTCGACGCTTAACATTTTATAACCTCGACCATTATTTTACTGCTACTAGGTGCCACTTAGCATGATAAATTATTTTGTAGAGTGGAAAAGTATTTTAACCTGACCTAACCGTTGCGTGATATATTAGATTGTAATCTAGGCCAGTAGAATTAAACACAAAAATTGATTAAATCGGAAATAATTCCTACAAAAGATTTTTTTGCTTTAATGGCTTCATTGGTTGCCCATTAAGACGCTCCTAAGTTTTCGACTTCGACGGAGTTGTGCTTAAGTGGTGGGGGCCCCCGAAAGGGGCGTTTTTTTGGTTTTCCNAATGTATAAGCTATTCAACACAAAAATAATGATTTCAATCAAACTAGTAATTCTTAAGATTAGCGCGTTCAAACAAACAAACAAAAAACTCTTCAGCGTTTTAATATGAACTTGTTGTTGTTGATTTTTGGCGTCGAACCTTAGACCAGGCATACGGCTAGGCAACGTAGTCATGCAGAAGGATACAAGGAAGAGGGGCAGCCACAGTAGGTTACACAGAGTCGTTCAGGTGAGTGCCAGGAAGAGGTGCAGCAACCGCAGTTAAGGAACGGCTGGGACGAACAAGGATAGGCGCATCAAGCTCGTAAGCCTTGATAGGGTTACACTGGTTGAGGTGGCCCTTTTCAAGACTTGGAAGCCTGTGGGTAACTAACCATTGGACATGGAGAGGGTCATTAATTATACGTATATTTTCTACTTTGCCGAACTTTAGCGCGAGAACGGTTTGTCCAAAACATATGAATTTGGTCTTATTCAATGCAGAATTAAGTGCCCTTCAACCGTCATGAGGATCACTTTTTGATAGGGTAAGTCCTTTACGCGGTATAACCGGAAAACCGAGAAAATGCCCCTTTCGGGGGCCCCCACCACTTAAGCACAACTCCGTCGAAGTCGAAAACTTAGGAGAGTCTTATTGGGCAACCAATGAAGCCATTAAAACAATAAAATCTTTTGTAGGAATTATTTCCGATTTAAAAGCTAATTCTACTGGACTAATCTAGCTACGCTTAACTATTAGGCACATTCTAGATTAAAGCATGGACTATCGGTGTTCAAGACATTAATTAAAGGTACTTTTTGAAAGCTTTTTCCTTTTAATAATTAACAATTACTGCTAGTACTACCTATAACATTAACTTGGAAACAGCCTTTTTCTGCTCAACGCTGATATTTTCTCTTTACTTGTGGTTTTCCTTATACTGATCCAGCCGAAAGAAATATTATATTCGCATGTTTAAATAAAAATAACAAGTGGTCTCTGTGAAAACGATGAATATATTCACTAGATACGTTTTTTGTCATAAATTTTAAATCAAAATATTGAATAATACAGCATGTTTTCTAAAATATAGTTACAGAGTTACGAACGACGCAATATAAGCTCCGTCCCAGTCTGTTCATAAACAGAAAATGTGTCTGGTCTAGACTTCTAGACAGCTGCGGTGCGCTTTATATTATGTGTGTATAAAAATGAAATCTTCTTACCTTATATGAGTGCTAAGCTTTATTATAGATTTCGAGCAAATACTGCGGCATGCGCAAAATTAAAGATTTTGCACCTTATTCGTGTGTCAATTTAATTGGTTATCGACTGTCGATGTGCGTGGGAGGCACTCAAAAACTATTTCGACTATAATAGGTGTGTGAATCTGAAATTAGGCTGGGCATACATTATTGAGATGATTTACAATTCTATCGGCCGTCGGTCGATTGTACTCCCATGCAAAGACATTTTATTTTCACCTTGGGAATTCTTTATGCCCACTGACGGTCTACCCTCGGGGCAGGTAGTTAAGTTTCATGGATTTACATGTTTTTAAATTCAAAAAAATTGCGAAGTCGTCTTCTATAGGTCCTTCGATCATGGTCGTTTTGTGAATGCAAATAATAAAGTAGCTATTTTTTTTGGCGTGTCAGGAGAATCGATTGAGAATAATATTGTCCACCTAAATCACAAGTTTCTGAAAATATTGGAGGCTTAACTTTTTCTAGTCTACTTCTATGTGAAAATTAATGATCATCGGCATACCTAGTTGCGAAAACTAATATACAGACAGTCCCACCGCTGCAACTCTTGTGTAGACAGGATCTACATCTTGACCACCATTACCACCACCAAATTGCATCATTACCTGACCTTATAAACTTTGTAAGAGTTACAAATTAATAACAGGAATTTCATTTTGCAACATTGTTGAATTGTTTACCATTTTGACGCATGCAAATCAATTTAGTTCTGAAAACTTTTGTATAACAATAGCGAGTTAGTATCGAATGTAGCGCGGTATTGTTATGTTAATAAAGCCTGCACTACGTACACATACAACATGAACACTGGTGCGAAATACACTATAGGTCATAGTTATTTTTTCAATAACTTGGCCTTGTTTTAAACCAGAATTTATGAGATATAAATAATTATGTAGAGTCAAGACCAGTTTAAAAAACTAGGTTTCTTGCAAAATCACACTAAGATAATTTACAACTTGTAGATGACTCAGCTCTTGACTTGATGTCGCCAGAATGTAAGGTTGATTCAAGCCTGCAAATATTTCTTACACTACTATGTGTACCGTGTATGAATCGAACCTAGAACTTCCAATTCTAGAAAGTCAAGCTCTATCTACCCACTGGAAAAAGCAACGACTGAAGAGACGTTGAAACTGAATTTACAAATAGAAATTTAAATAAAACAAATAAGACAACCTACTCTTGGGATTTAAAGTTAACTAATCCTACTTTACGTTTCTCACAATGATATATTTTACGAGTTTTTGTTGTGCTAAAACTTCTTGTCAGGATTAACTTTGTGGGTGTTTACAATACAGGGGTAGAAGTTATGGTTCTTTTGATATTGATAAAATTAAATGTCATTGGGCATCTTTTACTGCACCGTCTACTCTCAATCATAACAAAGATTAGCTTAGTTAATTAGTATGTAACGGGTAAAAGCATACTTAATTTTTTTTTATTCTTACTAGTATTACACATATAAACACAAGTCATAGACTAATACAAGCAAGCAAGCAAGCAAGCATGTTCGTTCAATCAAGCACCTATTGTCAATAAATTAGATTTTATAAAACTCTATTTTTGCTTGGTCTATTACTATGAGATCATTGTTTCTTGTTGTGGTTTTACTTGTGACATCTGTAAATTTATCTTTCCTTTGTCATTCCTTTCTAGTATTATTTTATTTTTCTTTCTTTAGTGTTTAGTTCGTACATTTAATTTCCTTGTCTAGTCTTTTACATTTGATTTGACGACAACGCATAAATAAACAAAACTTCAGTTTTTTGGGTATTGTTCCAAGCTTCCAACCCACTGTGAGC